GATAATGCTATCTCATGTGTTTTTTAATGAGATATGATATGCTTTTTTAAAAAGCTTTCATTCTCCTATATTTCAGAGTAGCAACCTAGTAGCATGTAATGCCAGTTTAAAGTCAGGAGGCCCTTCTCTCTCTCTCTCTCTCTTTCTCTCTCTTTCAAAAATAAACATTAAAAAGTTTTTTAGGGGTGCCTGGTTGGCTCAGTCGGTTTAGCATCTGCCTTCGGCTCAGGTCATGATCTCACAGTTTGTCAGGTTGAGCCTCGGGTCGGGCTGTGTGCTGACAGCTCAGAGCCTGGAGCCTACTTTGGATTCTGTGTCTCACCCTGTCTCTGCCCCTCCCCTGCTTGTGCTCTGTCTCTCTCTCTCTCAGAAACAATAAATGAAAAAACTTAAAAATTTTTTTTAAAGAAAGGAAAAAGGGGCTCTTGGGTGGCTCAGTTGGTTAAGCGCCCAACTCTTGAGCTCTGCTCAGGTCATGATCCCACAGCTCTGAGTTTGAGCCCCACATCGGGCTCTCTGCTGACAGCACGGAGCCTGCTTGGGATTCTCTTTCTCCCCCTCCTCTCTCTCTCTCTCTCTCTCAAAATAAATAAACAAATATTAAAAAAAAAGTAACGTCAGGAAACCGGCACTCTCCCCATGTCCTGCCATTACTTGTGTGCAAAATTGCTTTTCTGCTGAAGACTCTGTTTAGTTACTGTTACAGAAATTAACAAAAAAAACCCCACCCCTGCTAAATGAGATAATCATTGTGAACAAGGCGGCACAGCAGCCCCTCAATGAGGGGTCCTGTACCAGGGAGCTGGGGTGCTCCTGGTCTTAATTACAGAGTACTGTTCAGCCCTGACTCAATTTGTTGTTTAAACAGACATTTTTAGAACAGTTCGTATTTTCTTCAATCCAAACTATTTTTAGAATTGATGTTACTTCCCTTGCATATGGTTGAGGGGTACTCAGTGAGGCCACGATACACTTATGAATTATGAAATGATGACACAATCAAGCTGCTCATCACAACTGTCACCTCACCTTTATGTGTGCGTGTGCCGAGAATACTTAAGATCCACGCTCTTGGCAAGTTTCAAGTATATGGTGCGGCATTATATTATTTATTTTTATTTTTTTTGGTGGGGTCAGGGAGCAGGGGAGAGGAGCAGAGGGAAAGAAAGAGAATCTTTTTTTTAATTTTCAAGTGTTTTATTTGTGAGAGAAAGAGAGAGAGACAGCGTGAGCATGGCAGGGGCAGAGAGAGAGACACACACACACACAGAATCCAAAGCCAGCTCCAGGCTCCGAGCTGTCAAGCACACAGCCCGACTTGGGGCTCGAACCCACGAACCATGAGATCGTGACCTGAGCCGAAGTCGGAAGTTTAACCAACTGAGCCACCCGGGCGCCCCTAGAAAGAGAGAATCTTAACCAGCCTCCACACCCGTGTGAAGACCAACGAGGGGCCTGAGCCAACGACAGTGACAGCGTGACCTGAGCAGAAATCAAGAGTCGGACACTTGACCGACTGAGCCCCCCCAGGTGCCTCTCCAGTGCAGTGTGATAAGCTGTAGTCACCATGCAGGGCATTAGATCCCCGGAACTTACTGGTCCTATAACAGAGAGTTTGCGCCTTTCGAACAGCATCTCCCTTTTCCCCATCGTCCCTGCCCCTGGCCACCCCCATTCTACTCTTTGCCCCTGTGCGTTTGACTTTTTAAAATGCCACGTTTAAGTGAGATCATGCAGTATCTGTCTTTCTGTGTCTGGCTTAGTTCACTCAAGAGAATGGCCTCCAGGCCCATCCATATTGTTACAAGTGGAAGGGTTTCCTTCTTCTGAAAAGCCGAATGAGTCTCCACTGTGTATATAATGTCTATACTTGTACTGCGTTGTACATTAGTGTGATGGTTGGCGTAACTATTTGGAATTAGAAAAACAGACATGGAGCCAGAAGGCAACATCTCCATCCTCTGGCCCCAAATCTCTCCTCTCCAACCCCGGCCCCCGGACCTGAAGATTCCAGGGTGCTAACTCACCGGAGTGAATTAGGACGTTGTGTTTCAGATCTTTCAGAAAGAACTGGAGGACCCCAAAAAGTAAAAGCTGCTGCTGCAGAGAAATGCTTCCTTCCCTCTGTTGGAACACAGTTTTATGAATGCCTTTCTGAACAAAGGCTATGAACCAATCCCATCATTCATTATCTTTAAATAGCATAACATTCCAGTGAAATGTTTCTCCAGATGTTTCACCAAGAGAAATCATTTGTTTGTGGTTCACATTATAGCTTTTTTAGTAAAATAGGACTTTAGGACTTTCCCCCCGTACTGGCAATCGTTCCGTCGATTGCAGAAATCTTCCGAGGATCCTTTTTGGATTCCTTCATCATTTTTAAAAATTTTTAAACTTCTTATTTTCCTATGGTGAGCATCCAGAACAACGTTAAGTTTTGTCTTTGGAAGATGAATTCATTTTGCCGTCTCCAAACAGGATTCTCACGTTGTAGGTCTAGTTATTCCGGAAAAAAAACAAGCCGGAGGCCCAAACACAGGATTCTTTGTTACTGTAAGCGATTGCAGCACACATTTTAGAAGGGTCAGCTGGGTGCAGGCCACCACATCGCCATGTGGGGTGGTGGCAGGGGGATGCGTGGAGGGAGAAAACGTGGCCCGGTCTTCCCTGGGATTCCAGTCCGGGGGGAAGGGCAGATACAATGGGAGCAACCCCAAGGGGACGTATTCCACACACCGGGGTGCAGGCAGGGCCCAGATGAGCAGAGGGGAGGGATGGGTCCCCAAGGACAGGCAGCTGGAGGCAAGCCACCTGCGGGTTGACAGTCCAGCCCATCTGTGGTTCTGGTCCATTCTATATACCTGCCCTCAGAATATCTTTCTGACAATCCTGTCCTGCCTTGGGTGCCTCCTTGATTAAATGCCTTGGAAGCTCCTTGTTGTGTTCATGCAAGAATTCTTCCCGCTCAGCCTAGACCACAGGCCCCTACCAGATCCCAGCTTACCTCTGATACCTCCCGTCCTGCTGTCCTCCAGAGGTGCTCTGCTCACACCCCTGCTGGTGAACCGTACCTCCTCGCCATGCTGCTTGCGCAGCCTGGCACGTCCCTGCTACACGCACCCCTCATCCAAGTCTTTGCTCAAGTAGCGCCTCGTTCCTTCCTCCAGGAAGCCCTCAGGGACTTCCTCCCTCTCCCACGGAGCAGTGCTCCCCCTGCACCCAGGACATTCCCTCCTTCAGTGAGTCTTGCTATAGCTCCGGCTGGGAGGAGGGAGTAGGAGCTGACGCCCCTCCTCCGTCACTGGGTCACTTCTCTTTCTCTGGGTCACTTCGTGCGCCTCAGAGTCTGTGCCCTCTTCCCTGGGCTGTTGGGCCCGGCAGCCCCCGGCGCTCACAAGGGCATCAGTGTGTGCTTGGGAATGAACGAACGAAGCCCTTCCCACGTAAGCAGAAGGTGGAGCCGGGGGGAGGCACCGCACCGGCAAAGGCAGGGCTCTCGTGTTTGAGAGGCCAAGGCCAGTGCCACTGAAAAGGCGGGGCTTGCCCTAGGTTGTGGAGGGGTGCTCCGGTCTCGAAGGTCTGCAAATGATAAAATCAAGAACTTCAGATTCCACTTTCTTTCCAGCTAACACCTTCCTCCTCCTCCACCTCCGTCTGGGGATTCTTGGACAGCTGCCCGGCAACAGTCGTGGGAACAACACATGCTTGCTGAGTGCCCATTCTGCTCCGTGCACTGGCACCGCAGCCCCAGGGGAGTCACAAACACAGATGCCAGGCAGGCAACGTCCAGGGGACCGGGAGAGCCCCGCAGGCCTCAGCTAGGAGAAGCAGTACCTGCCGTGGCCACAGGGGGCGCTGCTGCTCAGATTCGGCCCGCGTCCGTGCCCGGAGCGCAGCCCCGGTGGGCAGGCCTTCGGATTGTTCGAGAGAAACCGGACATCTAGACTGGGTTGGGAAACGCTACAATTAAAAAATGTGGATGACTGAAGTACATTCTTTTTTACACCAGAAGGGCTAAAGAGGGTATGTTTTTTGTTGCCTTTGGTCTCCGGGCAGGCAGCTTTCCACCCCAACTGATGCATCTTGGTTGGTTTCTTGACTTCCAAGAGCTCTCCGTTTCCAATGCCACACAGCGCCACCTTCTCCGTCTTGCCAGAACTACGTGAGCCAAGTCCCCATGGGTGCACTTGAAGGCTCCGTCTTTATGTCTAGGCTCCCTTGGTTCATGGACTCTGGCCCCGGAGCCCTTCACCTGTAGCCAGGTGATCTGCAGAGTAGCGAGGAGGTAAGGCATGGGACAGCCCAGTCGTTCCTCCGGGCCGAGGGCAGAGCCGTGGCGAGTACGTGGAAACACACTGGTCTCATCAACACATCCCACATTGTGTCACCAGTGGGGAAAAAGGCAAAGAAAAAAGGCAGAATGTCAATGCTTCTCTGCAAAGCTGCGTGTCTTTTTATAATATCTCACAGGGAAGAAATAGGTCAGCATCGCCCCAAATGCAGGCCAATTTTCCCGCAGTCCAATCAAGAGCGCGTAGATGGGCCGTTTGACGTGCCAGGAAGCTCGCGATCACCATGTCAGAAGTAATGAGGATGAGTGTGAGTGGAAAGAGAGCCTTGACTCCCAGGGAGATATTTTAAGCAAGGGGGACCGAGGAACCCTGCTCTACCTGCCAGCGATCCGAGGCTGTAAAAAATCATTAGCAGTGACAGGATATTGAGGAAATGAACAAGTCAGGGTTAAGGTGCTGTGCTCCTGCCTCTCTGAAATGGAATTTTAGAAAACGAAACTTTTTCTTTAAATTGTACCACATCCTTGGTTTAGAAAAGCCAATCAGCTCGTGAGCCTATGCCCTCGATAGGTCCGTTTGATCGAATTCAGTTTAGATCGAAAAACCACATCGTGCAAAGTGCCGGCCAGCAGATGAATGGAACAACACGACGTGGTCCATCCAAACAATGCAGTGTCATTCGGTCTTAAAGAGGAAGGCGATGCGGACATGTGCTGCACGTGGGTGAACCCGGAGGACGTGATGCTGAGTGACATAAGCCTGTCGCAGGGGGACAAATACTGGATGATTCGACTCACAAGAGGTACCTAGAAGTAGTCAAATCCCCAGAGACAGGAAGTAGAACAGAGGTCACAGAGGCGGGAGAGGGGGGTGGGGGAGTCGTTGTTTGATTTCATCTAGGTGCAGAGTTTCCTTCTGGGAGCAGGATAAAGGGCCACTGGACCCTACACTCACACAGGCACGAAACTGGCAAGTTTTATGTGCTGTAGATTTCCCCACAACTTAAACAGTCCTCCAAGAGCAGGAACCTGAGGCCTGCATCTGTGATCGCAGGCCAAGACATCTTTGAGACCCGGAAGTGCTGTCTTATCACACAGGCCAGGATACCCGGTGACTTATCTCTCTATCTCGTCTGTCTAACAGAAACCCCAGCCATTTTTACGTAATTTTATCCTTCTCTTGTTGACCCGCCAGGCATCACCGCATCCTGTCCTAAGGAAAACAATAGGATTCTGTAAACTTGAGAAGGGTATTTAAGGAAACCATCGCTACGAGTGTAGTTCAGAGCAAAACGTGCTTGTGTCTCTATTAACCTCTGAAAGCGTATGTTTTTCTGAATCCGTGCATCTTTCAAACTCTGGACTGTATCAGGATGATTTCAAAATACTCCCCCTGCCCCTCTGTGACCTCTGTATTGAGGAAGAAGACTTTGCTGGTCCTTTTCGCCGGCATGCAGGGTGTCAGAGATTCCTCTGGGGCTCTCCAATTCCTGAGTTTCCCGGTCTCACGGAAGGGCAGTTGGGGACAGCCTGTGTGTGGCCTCCTGCCCGCCGCAGAGTCGCTCACATTCTCCAGTCCCAGATTAGACAGGTGGACTGGGAGGAACCATGCCCGGGGCTGGGCCTCCTCAGTGGGCTGGGCAACGTTGGCTGGGGTGTGTGTGTGTGTGTGTGTGGTGTTGGCGGGCGGGGAGGGGTGGCCGGGGGACTCTGACCTGGCTGCAGACTTTGGGACAGAAAGAGAGAGTAGTTTCCCTTTGGTATTGGGCTGCGGAGTCTAATGAGAAGTGACAGGGTTGCCACAACCGTTGGGGAGCTCGGCACTGTGGACCCCAAGAACAGCTGAAGTGCTCCCTTCGGGCAAATACGTCAGCCCCAGGGGCAGGGTGGGGGGCAGCAGTAATTTGGGGCCCCGCTGCCAGAAAGGCTGAGTTGCAGGGTAAGTTTCTGTGCAGAGGGTATGATGAGGATCCAGGAACAGACTGCAGGATAAAGCGGGACTGGGGATCAAAGTAAGACCAGAACCATGGTCTCAGAGTGACAGGGTGGTGGTCAAGGCCAGATGGACGACTCTGGAAGGTAGGCGGGAAGTATCGACTGGATGGGTGGATGGGTCGGGGGATGGATAGGTGGAAGGATAGGTGGGCGGACGGAAAGGTGGGTGGATGGGTGGGTGGATGGATGGGAGGCTGAGTGGGGCGGGGGGTGACCTACCCATGGATGCCTAGGTTGATGAAGCTAGAAAAGCAAGCAAAGATCAGGCCACGAAGGCCTTATGAGGAGTTGAGCATAGCGTGGAAAGCCATTGAAAGAGTTTAAGGAGGAGGGTGACAAATGGATCTGTGTGCCTGAAAGATCGCTCTGATTTCATGTGGAAAATGGGCTGGGGGAGGTGCGAGACTGGATGCAAAGGGACCGTTTGGAAGGCAGCTGCAGGAAGAGATTGTAGTGCCTTGAAATTAGGTGAGCGACAATAGAATAAAGAAAGTGGGTGAATTCCACGAATTTTTAAAGAACACCGTTCTCAGGAAACAGCGACCTAGATATTTGGGGTACAAGAGGAAATGCCCGATGATAACCCCTAGTTGATTAGGCAGCTGGGGGAATGGCAGCACCTTCCGTCAGGGTAGGGGACGGAAAGTGGGTCATGTTCGGGAAGAGGGAGGGATTATCCCGTCAGTCACAGTGCCTGTGACACTTGGTGGCACCCATCTGTCTGCAAGACGCTTCCTCCGCTGGAGCTGAGGGCAGGCCCCGCCCCTTCCCTGCAACCCCAGAACTTAGCTCAGCGCTGGTCCGTGGTTCAGATTTAGATTGTTGTTCTGACTGGTAAACATGGAGCTGGGATTGGACAGTCTCTGAAGAGCTGTGTCGCTCCTGTGACATGGGGCACGGCAGGGAGACTTGAGGAACTGGCAGGTCAATGTGGAGAAGCTTCCAGAACAAACCGGCTGTGGGGAAAAGGTCTCCGTGTCTGGGTAGCATCTCAAGCCCAAGGCAAAGTGCCAGCCAGACTTCGGGCTCCTTGTCCCGGGGCACCTGTGTGTCTCATAGCTCCAGGCTCTTGTTTGAGGAACCCATTTCTCATGACAAGTGTCACAAACACTGAATGTCACCCTTGTTGCAAAGGAAGCTGATGTGGACAGACTGTGTGTTGCCTTCCCCCATGAGAACAGGGCTTGGCAATCAACCAGACTCACTATTACAACATGTCCTCGGGGAAGTAGGTCATGTGTCCCCAGGAGAGTCACAGAGGCCAAGGAGAGTGAGAGGTTTGCACTGAGCAGGGCTTTCTTTTTCTCAAAGCTCCAAAGGGTGGGGGCCAGGAGCCATTTTGTTTTCCGGCCAGTGGTGCGTTTCCTTCCCAGGATTAGTCATCCCCACCCCGTCCGCACCTCTGGCTCTGAGGTGAATGAACACAGAAGTGCGTTCTGTGTCTCGCCTCTAGCTGACCCCTGGGAGATGCTTGCCATTGTTGGGCTCTCTCCTGGTCCTCCTTGTAGTTGAAGAAGAGAAGGTGGCAGATCACCTCTGTGGGGTGTTTGCTCGCGACCTAGCGTGACTCCACAGAGTGTCCGCTGTGGCGCTTCCCACAGGTTTCTGAGAGGCCTCAGTGAGTGGTGAGGCACCACCCTGTGGTGAGGTGGCCCAGGATGGACCTTCGAGGAACGTAGCAGAACCGGGGAGGCTGGGCGAAGGGCGCGGGAGGATGGCTTCCCCCTTCAGACTCAGGAAGGGAGAATGGGTCCCTCAACAACCTGCTTGCGAAGGGGAACCAAGGTGATTAATTCTCCTGCAGGAACAGAAGAAAGAGGGACCTTCTGCTCCCTTACCATCGCTCCAGAAATATGCTCACTCCCCTCGCTCGTCTGAGACCGTCACAGACGACTGATGGGGTCCCCGACTGACCTTCAAAATGAAGGAGTTTGCCGTTCGTGGAGGGCTTCTGTCAGACTCCAGCTAGAGACTTTCCACGAGCCCAGAGCGTTCTGAGCAAACCCACAATGTAAGGCTTCATTTCCCACACTTTCCTTATCTTGCCTCAGACACATTTCCATTTTCTCAGTATTCCGTCCCCAAGATGTGGTAATGTTGCTGGTGTTCTGTGTTGGGAAGTGTGTCCCTGGGACCAACTGTGGTGCTATAAAGGAAATGATAGTTTTCCTTCTAAATGATTTTATATTTACACTAAAGGATAAATACATAAGATGCACTGAAACCCTCAAGCGATTGAAAAGAAATATATGGGGGCATCTGGGTGGCTCCATCGGTGGAGCGTCCGACTTCGGCTCAGGTCATGATCTCGCGGTCTGTGAGTTCGAGCCCCGCGTCGGGCTCTGTGCGGACAGCTCAGAGCCTGGAGCCTGCTTCGGATTCGGTGTCTCCCTCTCTCTCTGCCCCTCCCAC